AAACAAAGAGTTTTATTAGCCTCCATTTGTGTTTCCCCCCCTTTTCTTCTTTCTTCTGACCCCCCCCCCACTCCCGCCACCCCAGGGAGCTCTCGTCAAAACGCGGACTGGTTAGGAAGCCCCGGCAGGCCCGCGAAGCAGGAAAACCTTGGCGAAGTCCTTAGGCCAGGGGTAGGCAACCTCGGCTCTTTTATGACTCATGGACTTCAACTCCCAGAATTCCTGAGTCAGCTCTGCTGACTCAGGAATTCTGGGAGTTGAGGTCCATGAGTCATAAAAGAGCCGAGGTTGACTACCCCTGCCTTATAGGCTGACCAGTCGCCTTTTCCCTTGGAAACCCATTAGAAAAGATGAGTCTATTTTCCTTTTTTCTGGTTGGAGATAGATTTTACTCCTCTCTTTGTGGAGACTTAAGACTACCTTAAGACGACCAAACACCCTATTCTGACCAGACATAAAACAAACTGCAACCCAAATTCTGTTCCTGTAGGAAAGTGTGTGGAGTTCCCCCTCTCTGTCCAAGCTTGGGGTGATGGGGGCTACTCTGGCGTATGGGTCGTTTCTTCTGGGGTTCTTAAAACAGAGTTAATCTAACTCCCAGGTAGTACAACAAACTCCTATGAAGGGATACTTTTAAACCCTTACTTTTAAAACTCTCAAAATAGTGTAGCTCTGAGTTATTCCAGTTAACGGCAGAGAAACGTAAAACTCTCATCCTCTGCAAACATTTTATCTGCAAAGAAAAATCATTTGACTTTAAGGTAACATATTCTATATATATTTTTAAAAATTATATACTGACTAGAGTTACTTCATGATAGTGTGACTTAAAAGGAAGCAGGCTAACTAAAGTTCTTTTAGCAGCGTGAAGAAGAGTCTTTAGCTTGAACTTCTTACAGATGTTTTCTTTGCTATATTACTACCTTTTACACAGATGAGGCTGTCCAAAATACACTTGTTCATTGCCTCTTTTATCTCACCTTAAGCATGAGCCAATAATCCTTTTTCTCTCTTCCTTTTATTCTCCAGTCTCTCCCCCCACCTCCCCAGCTTCTAGTATCTTACAAAAATAAATCTGCTTTCCTTGGTTTATATATATAAAAAAGACCACAGATAATTCTCATATAGCAATTATGGGAGCCCAGGCATGTTGTCTCATTTTTTAAAAAAAAAGCAACAACTAAACTGGCCGTGGCTGAATTCCACTCATCATCCAAAGGGCTACAAACAAATTAAACCCAATTGATGGTTGGAATACAACACCTGTTCACCAATCTTGGAAGCATCCATTCCCCTAATTTTCTCCCAAAATCAGTTTATCGCTTCCTGGTTTCTTCTGGTATCTTGGGTCAATATTCCCATTACCACAACTAACAAAGACCCCTGTTCCTGTTGGACATGAGAGGCTGGGATGTTTAGTCAATAGATCTGTAGGGCACCAGGTTGAAAGAAAGGTGTTCGTTTACTTTAAGCACTTGCAGTGTTCAGCTGCCACCAAAATGCTGAGGTTTTTTTCCCCTTAGGAAGATGTAACCCTTTTTCTCATGAAGGCATGAAGAGGCCTCCAAACCTTGTTGTCCTTGAAGACAACAACAAATGTACAAAAAAGAGCCTGTAGTGAGTGAATGAAAAAAGTGCTACTTTAGAGACAGCTTTCAATTTCAGAGTTTTGGGAAAAATAGGGCCCTATGCTTAAAGCCATAATTTCATTTTGCAAAGTCACACAGACAGACAAGACACATAAACCCCACCCCTTATCAAAGGTCCTGAAATTTCCATGACTCCTTTCAGAACACCCCAAAGTTCGGCTGTCTGGAAAAGGCTAGATTGAAACCAAAGAACAGGAAGAGGCCAAGCTTTATGAAAACATTTGCCAAAATCAACTAAAATTGGCTGTTTGGGAAGAGGGTCTGTAACTGCAGCAAAGATGAACCCAAGGCCGTAGAACTGAAGCCTAAGTGGCATCCTGGCTTCCAGAGCAAATCAAGGTTTATTTGGCAACCATACCCACTTCCACAGCGGGCAGGATTTTGGGGATTTATTTTGTTCAGTGTCACTGCTAGTTTCCAACCCATACTTCCCACAGCATTTAGATAACCTTGGAAGATAGCTTTGGTTTCTAAAACCATTTCCTCCCCCTTTTTTTGGCATGGCTAAAGATATCATGCTGTATGACTAGAAGCAAAAGGCTTTTTTCTAAAGCAGCTGGCTAGCTGGATTCTGTGCACCTACTGGCTCAAAGTTTTCCAACAAGCATCATTTGGTTTCTCCCTCCCTTTTTAAAACAAACTGGGAAGGCTACATTCCAAATATTACACAAGAGATCTGGAAATAAAAAGAAACCCTGGTTGTGATAGAGCCTCAGTCCTGTAAAACACCTTATCTAGACTTTTTGCTTCCTTCCAGTTTTAGAACATTTATTCATATTATGGATCTTCACAATCAAAAATGAGTTAGGGTGGGCAAAAAGAAAAAAAAATGATCGGAGAAATAATAGCCTGGTTTTATGAATTGGAATCCATCTTATAATTCTGAGAATGCTTTGGGATTTCTCAAGGATCTCAATGCTACCGAGGGCTAGCTAGTGAAGGTTAATCAAAGACTAATAGAGAATATATTAAAGCGCCTGATTCTAAAGGCAGGTTTCGCTGGTCCCACTCTGCAAAATTAGAGGGACATGACCAGTTCAGTTTTAGGCAGCATTGGAACAAATGAAAGCCAAGGTACCTGTGTTTTCTGGACAAGGACTAATCTTACAGACTAGGGGGCTGACAGAGGTGATTATGCAGCTGTAAAGGCTCTCCTTTTAGAAATCTGGACTCATTCGCTAGGTGTCCTAAAATCTCTTACATTGGAATACTGAGAAAGGAAGGAAGGAAGGAAGGAAGGAAGGAAGGAAGGAAGGAAGGAAGGAAGGAAGGAAGGAAGGAAGTCAAGTGAGTTAGTCTGGAAAAGCTTGTTAATGAAAAACAAAAAGGTGCAGGAATGCAGGCAGCAAATTAATAGGGGAAAACTTGCCATCAATTTCTATAGCTGAAAATCCTGCCTTATCATGAATCCTTCCTAGTTTGGAGGACTAGGAAGAAAAGCTGAGAGAGAGAATGTGGGCAGGGGAGACTCACACAAATGTTATTTTTAAAGATCTGGGCTTTATTAATACGTTAAGAAAGAGCTCCCTTGGCAGTGTAGGTTCTTACAGCTCCATCTCAGATCCTATAAAACATTAATGCGCTGAAAGCTGTTACCGGGATTGGCAGAGACCAGCTCCAAGCCCTGGGAAAGTTGTTGTCTTCAAAAGGGCTTCTGCACTGAGAACTGCTGATGCACTTGAAAGGGGGGGGGAGGGAGGGTGAGAAAGAAGCTGGGAGGGAGATGGAGCTTTCCTTCCTCTGTGTTCAAATGAAGGAGAAGCCTCAAGGAGACTCCTCAATGTCCCCCCCCTCCCCCCTCCCCAAGGGCACAGGCCTGTCCTTGGATCTGAACAGAGCACCAGACATTTGTATCTACGTTTCTCTTTCACTCTTATGCCACCCTCTGAAGTCCAGATCACTGGGAAATCCTTCTCTAAAGAACCCAGAAACCTGAAGCCACATTAACTGGTATCGGGGTGTATATATGTGAGGGAGTTTAGGACTCCCATACAAAAAATTATTTAACCTCTACGAAGATACTGGTCTCTTATACACTCCACAGGCAGTCCCCACCCCCAGCCCCACCCCGCCACATAGAGCATTCCATTGGTATTCTGGATTAGGCACCCCGAAGGATTGAAAGCCACCAGCAAGCTACCACATTAAAGGAAGAGATTCTCCAACTCTGTTTCGTCAGCTTTAGTCACAAACCCTGCAACATCAAACCAACTGGCGTGGGAATGCCTAGAGAAAGAGGCACCTGACTAGAAACCAGGTTCAACCTGTTACCTTCATTCCCGCCCCTTGAAACTCTGGTGGAAGCTGCAAACCAAGGGGCTGGTGTGGGGAGGGAAAGGGTGCCCCCAACTCCACAGACAACCAAGTGGGGAGGGGAACTCCAGGGAGCACAGATGAGGGGAGGGCAGTGGGACTCTTCACGCCTTTCAGGGTGTTCTTGCCCTTTGTTCTTTTTGCTAAATTCTTTTATTTTTGTTTAAATTCTCACTTCAATTTTTAATTCTTGAAGAACAGCTTCGACAACATATATCGCACTCATTATAAGAAGCAAAGGGTTATATCAAAAATTATTAGTATAGAATCACAGGAAGCCTGGTTTGGAACCAGAAAAAAATACAAAACAGATATAGATACATACACACAGAACAATTCCTTGCTTTTTTTTTTTAATAATTATTTGGAAAACGTTATTTCCCCCTCCCTACTTTTTTTTGTTTCTTGTGTTGGGTTTTTCCCCCCTCCTTTATGCGCATAACGATGTTTTAAATTTTACAAAAAAAGTGAAAATAAAGACTAATATTTTACAAAATGAAGAACAATGTTCGTGGTCAGTGTTTACCTGTGGACCCCCCTCCCGTTCCCCCTCCCCCAGTCAGTCAGTTCGGCTTCAGTTTCGTTTCTTAAAACTGTGTTTGCTGTACAGTTGACCACCACTTCGGGGTCCGTGATCAAGCCAGGAAAATCCATCTAATCCTCTTCCTCCTCTTCCTCTTCCTTTCTCGGAGGGGGCAGGGCGGGACGGGACGGGCGGGCAGTATAACGAGACAATCCCTTCGGGTCTTTGCTATTTTTATAGTTTATTCCTTTTAAAGTCTCCCACCTCGGCGTCCTGCCGTTGGTTCCAGACAGGCGAGCTGCCCCTTTTTGGCCGCCACCGCCGCCGGGCCCGGAGTTGCCAGCCTCCTCCGCCAGTCTTTCCTTTCAAGACGAGGTTTCCGGGCGCCCGGCCTTGGGGAAGTGGGGCGTTTGTGGGTCCCTTTCTTTGCTCTCTCTTTCTCTCTCTCTCTCTCTCTCTCCTCGGGACCCCCCTCTGGCCGCTCAGCCGCAAGGCCTGTGGCGGGTGCGCTAAGCGGGGGAGGCCAGGGGCTGCTCTCTAGGAACACTGGATGGACATGTAAGGCCAGTTGAAGCTGCTGCCGGAGAGCAGCATGTCTCGGATGAGCGTCTCGATGGGGGTTTTACCTACCAAGCGGACGAAGAAGAGCTGCTCGATGACCGACGACGAGACGGTGCGCAGGGAAGGCAGCCGGAGGAGCAGCTTGCCGAAGCGGCTGGGCTGGTTGGGGTACTGGCTGCGCACGTATTCCTCCAGGGCGCACTGCGATTTCTCCTGCAGGCTCTCGATGTGCGCCGCGTCCGACAGGCCACAGGCATCTGTCCGGCCACCGGGAGAAGCAGCGCGGGCCAGAGGGAGAGAGAGGGAGGGAGAGAGAGCAGGGCAAGAGGGTTAGCGAGGGTCGGGCCACCGCGGCCAGCCGGCAGGTCGGCCCCCACCCCGTCTCCCCACCGGAGGCCCCGGGACCCCAGGCAGCCCTCCCCGCGGCCTCCTCCTGCATCTGGCTGGCGTCTCTCAAAAAAAGGACCCTGGGCCGGGGGTGGGGTGTGTGGGGGAAGCGGAGCTGCCCTTCTCGGCCCGGCAGCGCCGCGGCTGCAGACGCCGGGAAGGGCCCAGGCCTCGCTTCCTTCCCGGAGTTGCATCCTATTGTTAGCCGGTGGACACGCGCGCTTGCCCTCCCCGCGGAGAGCGAGCCAGGCCGCCAGGCCCCGCCAGCTGTGCGGCTTAGGCTGGGGTGGGGTGGGGTATCCTTCGTGGACGGTCTCCGAAGGACGCCTCCCCCCCCCCTCCGGCGCCCCCTCCGGTCCAGGGAATGGCTCCCGGGGGTGGGGGGGGGAGTCCATGGGGCCAGGGCTGCGCATGCAGGCGAGAGAGCCGAATCAGGCTAGGGTTGGGGCCGCTCGCACGAAAGGCCGCCGCCTCCATTTCCGGGAGGGGAAGGTGGTGGTGGTGATGTGTGTGTGTGTGTGTGTGTGTGTGTGTGGAAGGGGGGGGCTGAGAGAGAGAGAGAAGGCGAGCTAGAGCAGCGCGCTGGCTTTGTCTCTGGATCTGGACGGTCGGAGTAATTGAAATTTGGTGGCATCTCTAGAAGCCGGATAATCATTGCCGGGAAAATGGCTCAGCTCCCCCGCTTCCTCCACCCCCCCCCGCCGCCCCCCCGCGCTAAGAAGGCGTCTGCAGCTGCTCTCGGCTCGCGCTCACAAAGCTGCGCCGCCCGCCTGGCCTGAGAGCTGGGAGGCTGCAGCTATGTACCCGGGGAAGAAGGCCTCCGGAGAGTCGGGAAAGTGCCTGGCTCCAGTTCTCTTTCGGAGGGGGAGGACGCGCATTTCCCGGAACCAGAAAGCGGCACAAGAGACCCCCCCTTCTCCTATGTATATATATATATATATATATTCTGCGTCTGCCTGCTTTCCTCCTTTCTCGTAGGGTTAAAAAAAACAGGGCCGGGGTATCAACCCATCCTTCCTAGTAGCTTTCCGGCCGCCTCCATCATTATTATTATTATTATTATTATTATTATTATTATTATTATTATTATTATTATTATTATTATTATTATTATTATTATTATTATTATTATTATTATTATTATTATTATTATTATTATTATTTTAGCTTTCGGGGAGGTATGGGGAGAGAAAAAAAAATAAAAGGCCAAGAAAAAGAAGCGGGGGTGGGCCAAGAAAAAGAAGCGGGGGTGGGGGTGGGCAGAGGAAGCCACCTGCGCATAAGCGGCGGCTGCTTCGGGCGGGGAAGCGGGGAGCCGCTGTCGTCTGCCTTGTTCAGATTCGCAACTTGTTTTCTTCTATCAATAATAAATATTTCAAAACATCGCGATCACAAGGCAGCCGTCAGCCAGCGCGGCGGTTTAGCGGAGATCAAAGCAGCTTTTGAGATGGGTGTGCGTGCTTGTGTGTGTGTGTGGGGGGGGGGAATGGTGTGTGAGAGTGTGTATATGTATGTATGGATGGATGTGTTAATCTGGGGGAGGGTCGCCTGAGCAGACCTTGCAAATGTAATACCTAGAAAAAGGCAATGAAAAATTATTTGCACAATCCCTTTTGAGCTAGTTGTTTTAGCTGGTGTCGCGCGCGTATTAGTTTTGTGACAAGGGATCTCCCGTTTTTGCGGGGCCCGGGCTCTCAAAAGATTGCCAGGCACCTTCGTGCCCACGCTTCTGGCCTCAAGCGAAAATAGAAATAAACCAAGCTATAATTCAAACGCTTCTGAGGAAAAGACCTCCATGACCCCAGCTACAGACTAAGGACCGCTTAGATGTACAATTACACACGCCCGACTGTTGTGCTAATCCATGCTTTTGCCTTAAATGCAGTGATCATTTGCAACATCTAAAATGGGGGGAGGAGGCGCAGGGAGAAAAAAAAAAGAGTGAGAATATCAGAGAGAGAGAGAGAGAGAGAGAGAGAGAGGAAAGGAGGGAGGGAGGGAGGAAGATTGCAATGCACAGACGTCATGCAACAGAGACCTGCCCTTATTTGTGGTCCATTATAGTGAAGAGTCACTATCTTCTTTAACTGTGACTAAGAGATCTTCCTCCTCTGCACCCTTTTGCTTCTACTCTCTCCCTCCCCCCCCCCCCCCCCCCCCCCCCCCCNCCCCCCCCCCCCGTTTGCCACGTTGCCCTTTTCCACCAGGGTCTTTAGTTTCAGGCAACTTCTAAATAAGGCAGGATGAAAGGGTCTGGTTGCCTCAGCATATCTCTTTGGAGGCTCCCTGCTCTATTCTCTGGATTGGTGAAATATTTATTTCTGCTTCTGCTTTCTCCAGCTTGAGGCCACCACTGGGATTGTGAGAAAAGAACATCGGCAAAGCCCCCCTTCTCCTTAATATATCCAACAGATGCTTATTAAAACATATCTTCTTCTGTTATTTTTTTTTCCCCCTTCAAGCTTTACTCCTACCTAGTGCACGAGGGGGGTGGACTTTGAATTTACTTGGCACTCCTCGCACTCAAGATCATTCTCTCCTCCCCAGCAAACACGTCTGGATCGAGGAGATGCTTTCCAACCAGACAATCTGAAAATTAATTAAACAATCTGTGCTATCTGATCGATTAGCTGATTGAGTTGAGATGAAATAGACCAAAGAAGGAAAGTGATGCATGTTCCCCTTCTTTAGCTTTGCGGAGAGGAAAGAAATGAGAGGAGGGGGACTAGGAAGGCAGAAGGTGGTGGGCATAAAAACTGTGTTTCTCTCACTTTTTGAAGAGGTTATAATTTTCCCTGCCATCATTATTTGTTGGTATTTTCCTTTCCAATCAATGGCAGAGAAACTATATAAATAAATAAAAATTACTATACGTGTACTACACACGACTAGCACATGTCAACCAGCTTTTGTTATTAGGTGGAGAATATTTTACCTAATGCACCTAGGAGTGTTAAGCACTGAACAAAACAAAACAAATATACTGTTTGCAAATGAGAAAATGAGAAATCAACACTGTTACTGTGTGGGAGATAGATTTATACACCTGACCTGCTCTGATATTTCTGTGGGTAATATTACCCCTATGATTCTAAGTTGTGGAGAGGAATGTGCATTCCCATGTGTTAATTAAAAATTGGCATATTGGTGTGAAAAGTAAACATGTTGGGATTACTTTTAAGTTGCTGCTTAACTTGAGGATAGTTTCCAAAACTTCTTGTGGGCGAACAAAAATATTCTGAAGTCCAAATGATGCTGATCAAATAAATAAATAAAATATAAGAAACACACTAATCTCCGAGAAGGCTTAAACGCTGATCTCTCATCTAAAAAAACCCAATGATTTTGAAGCAAGACTTATTTTACATTTAGGATCAGATTGCTGAGTTAAGCCTCTGGGACCAGGTGGCTCAAAATGTTTTCTCCATCCATCAAAGTTTGCTTAAAAAGTTGGATGGCTTGATGAAAGATTTGCCATCAATTACCTTCTGGCCAGCAATCAAAACAAGATTAGCCCAAGTGGAAATGAGTGTATATGAAAACTGAAAGGAGGAGGTAGTTGAAGTGGGGGAATGTGGGGGTGGGTGGGAAAGAACCATCAAAGGGGTTATGCTGGAAAATGCTAGTCCAGTGTACCGATTGTTATTAAATGAATAATTATGAACAATTAACATTGCTGCGAACTCTCCCAAAATACAGCAATAATATCTGCTTTATTAAATCAGCTCTGGTAAGGTTGGGCCTTGAGGATTTGAGAAAATGGAGGGGGTGTGTGTCAGACCTTTTATTCTGGGGGGGGGGGCATTTCCACCTTTCTTTACATTCTGGCTGAAAAGGTGCTGTTTTAAAACTCATCTGAATATTTCTGCCCTTTGTCCACTTCCCCTTGTCTCCAAAGGAATAAATGGCTAAGAAAAAAAGTATGTCAGGCTGCAGTTGAAATCACCCTGAAAAATGCCAGCAGGGTCCCTTTTTTGTCAGTTGTGAAAAACATGTTTCCGCCAGAAAAACAGGCCAAAGATAAATGCAGCCCAAACTGCTCTAAGGCTGCTTCGTAAATCTCCCCATTTGTTTTAAGATCTGCACTTGATCCTCTGCAAAGAAAGAATCCTCACTCCCAGCCCTGCATTTGCAGCCAGAGGAACAAGGGGGGGCAGTCACAGTCCACCTCTCTGAGCATTGCGCATACCAATGAGTCCCCATCTAAATAAATTATCCAGTGTTCAAATCGATATTAATACTATGTTTGCTACATTAAGGTTTTGCACAAACTTAAGAGTCATTTGACTACAATGTAAATACTATTTCTCAGGCATGTGCGGCTAGAAATATTAATAGATTCTTTCTCTAAATCAGAAATTCAGCAAGCGGGGCCAATAAAATCTTTGTGTATTGCTTGGCTTCAGGTTTAAGGGGAAATTTAATAGCACTAAAGCACACACAAAGATTTTTTTTAAAAAAAAAACAGCATAACCATTTCCATGATTTTTCAATCCCAGACAGTCCTACTTGGGAGTAAATTCTGCGGCATTTATTTTTGAGCAGACCTGCATGTGATTGTCCTGTGTAGAGTGCAAATTTAAGTCACAGACAGCCATACCTTTCCAGTAAGACTCAAAGGCCATCTTGTAGATTTCTTCATAAATCTTTGATTTTGTTTATATGCGGCTCAACCAGGTTTGCAATGATAAAAAAGATGCCTGAATTTTTATAGACTTCAACCAGAGCACTTCAAAGGTGAGGCTAATATCCTCTTTTGCAAAGTTAATTTGAGCCATCTATCATAAACAAAATTACGGGACCAGCACGTTATATCCGTCCCTGTTTCTAATTTAATTGTGTGGGGGGTGGGGGTGTTGCAACCAATCTGTTAGTATTTGTATAGAGTTGCCTTGAGTGTTTTTATGTATTTTTATCTCCAAACCAGAGCTTGGAGAAGAGAAACTACAGAACCACAGAAATGTTTGGAGATCGGGAGAAAGAGAATAATAAATGGGGCTGGAACTTTGAGAAAAGGGCAAGAAAATATCTTTGAAAATCTTGGGGTGAGCCCCTCTCTCTCTCTCTCTCTCTCTCTCTCCCTTTCTCCCTCTCTCTCTCTCTCACTCTCTTCTCTCTCGTGCTCTCTCCCTCCCTCCCTCCCTCCCTCCTTCTCTCCCTCTCTCTCTCTCTCTCTCCCTCTCTCCCTCCCTCTCTCTCTCTCTCCTTTTTAAGCAGGAAAGGAGGGGGGGAGGTTCTTCTGGCCTTCAGGTCAATTTTTACCTGCTCCTCTGATCTCAGCAATTGGAATTATGAATACTTTCCAATAAAGGGGGAGGGAGAATCACACAGCAATAAAGCAGCAATGTGGAGGATTTATTTGTATCTCTGCCTTCCTGTTCAACAAGCTCTAGTGAAAAACCTTAGCCAAGGTTTTAAGCCTCCTCCTCCCCCCCCTTCTTTCTCTTGCTCTCCACATTTTAATTTACTCCCTGCTTGGAAGCCAAACTCTGGCCAAGGCAGCCAACAGGCCACCCCTTAAGCCTCCGCTTGGCCAATTTCACCGCAGGCCTACAAGTCGGAAGCTGTCCCGGCCTAGGTCCACCAACTCTCGAGGCCTGCACGCCAGGCCCTGAGCAAGCTTTGAGAGCTTTGCCTCTAGCTAACTCGGGCTGCCTGGAGCTACCTCTTCCTTTGGCCCAAGTCTCTGGAGGCTAGGCCTCCTCCTCCTCCTCCTCCTCCAGCCTCCTAGCCCAGCCCCGGCTCGGGCCCGGCCCAGCCCGGCCCACTGACCTGAGGTGAAGAGGACGATGGCTTTGAGGCAGCTGTATTCGGCGGAGTCGACGTGCAGGGCCTTGAGCTTCTCCACCTGCTCCTGGAAGATGCGGATGTGGTCCATGAAGGCCACCACGCGGTCGGCGGACATGGGCGAGGCGTGGAGGCCGGCGGCGGCCAGGAGCGGGGCCACGTGCAGCGGCATGGAGCACTGGGCGGCGTTGAGCACGAAGAGCTCGCTCCAGGTGAGGCGCAGCAGGGCCACCTGGTCGGTGATCTGCAGGTCCGGGAAGAAGGGGATGTTGCGGGCCCACTCGACGGCGCTGAAGAGCAGCCGGGCCGCCAGCTCGCAGATGTTCTCGATGCCCATGATGTTGTTGGGCTGCATGCACTGGCTGCCGTAGCGCGACGTCGGGTAAGGCTCGGCTCGCAGCAGCAGCGAGATGTAGCCCGACAGGTAGCAGTGGCCGTTCAGCGGGTCGCCGTTGGTCAGCGCGTACTGGCCCGGGTTCGGCTGGCTCGGAGGCATCCTTCCTCGCTGAACCGCTGACGAAAAGAGGGAGAGAGAGAGAAAAGGAGAGGAAATGTGCATCCGGCAGCCTGGGCGAAAAAAAAAACCCCCCAGCCCTCCCCAGACAGCCGTCGCCCCGCGCCAGGCGAAGCAGCAGCAGCAGCAGCAGCGGCAACAGCCGCAGCAGCAGCAGCCCAAGCAAAGCACGCGCGCGCGCGCACACACACACACACACAAGCGCGCTCCCTCTGACACACGCAAACACACACACACACACAAATCCGAAGGTATGTATGTGTATGGGTAACGCGGCAGACGCAGACACAATGTAAGCCCCCCTCCCCCTCCCGCAACCTCGCATTGTTGTGCAAATGGGGACGCCCAGATGCTCCCTGCGAGGGAGGTTGCCTTTCTCCCCGCAAGAAGGTGGCGGTGGTGGTGAGGGTGAGGATGAGGATAAGAAGAAGAAGAAGAAGAATGTGATACAGATAAAAGCACAAGCTTTTCAAAGCTGCTTCTGCCAACGCTTAAAAAAAAACAAAAAAACCAGGTCCCACCTGCAAAACGTTCCCGCTTTGTCTTTCCAGAGAACCAGTGAGACATTTTGAGTCCTCTCCAGCCCAGTCAGTGCTCAAAGTTCTTGCAATTGCAAAATACCATCCAGCCAAGCCTCCCCTTTATTTGCCAGTCTGGAATCGCACAATAAGGCTACCAAACTGGGAAGGGGGGGGCAGTGTGGGGGTCAGGGAGAGCTCTCCTTAGCCTTGCAAGCTACTCTTGCCTAAACAATCAGGTCCCAGTCCAACTAAACACACACACACATACACACACACACACACACACACACACACACACACACACACACACACAGAGGGCAAGCTCCTACCCAATTTAAATGCAGCACCCTGTATTTAAAAGGATGGGGTGTGCGTGTGCTGTTACTGGTAAAAGGGATGAATTAAAATAAAATGTGAACTTACAGAAGCCAAACATGAGCGGCAAGGAAGGAAGGATAGCACCAAGTCTTTAACCGTGTGGTTCCAGAAAGCACCAACTTGCTACTGCTTTGACCAGTGAAAACAAACATTTGCAACTGTGCAGCATGCACAATACATACATACAATACCAGACGTACACACACCACATGCCTGCACGTACTACTCGAATGCCATGGGTTCATTCACTGTCCCAAATGTAAGCATGTTTGGATTTATTTAAAGCTGAACAAAGTTTGTGTATGTGTGCATGGGCATAATAAGTGTGTCGATTTACTCATCTGAGGCCAAAAAATTCTAACCTGAGACTTATAAATAAAGGTGACAAAGTGAAGGGAGGGCCTCTGGTGAATATTTTAACCTCTCCAAATAAATATTTTCTGTTTCATACCATTACATATTTTAATAATTTTCCATCAGGATATTTCTGTCTAGCTGTCAGAACCTCACCTCGATTTCTGTTACTATAGTTTAGATTTCCAAAGCTGCAGCTGTGCATTTCAAACACAGTTCAAAGATAGTGAGGGATTTATCTCCTTCATATATTTCTGTATTGAGTAATTTCTAGTTATGTTTCTTCAAGATGTCTTTCCTGACAAAAGCTGGCTGAAGCTACAAATGAAGTCATCAGTAGACAGTTGTTGTGTTTTTTTTTTTAAAAAATCCTTTTTTCTATGGCACAAGGGGGGAAGTATTTTAACATTTTTCAAATTTTCATTGCAGAAAATGAATTTTTTTGATCTATTTGACACTTAGGACATTTTTAATCAGAGCATGGGAAAAAGAGCATATATTGCAGTAAATCTGGGTAAAGGAAAAATAAAAAGCAAGATGGAAAAAGCAAGATATTATAAATAAAGGGCTTCCCTCTTTGGAATGGGAAAAGAATCTTGCTATTACAACATTGGAAGTATTTGTGTTTGTTTTCAAACATTGACCAGCACAATCCAGAAATAAGTTATGCCTTATGGTAACAACACCACCACCAACAACCACCACCATTGACTTGGGGGTGGTTTGCAACCGGTAAGTAGTGCTGTATTTAAGAGACAATGAGATTTCATAGGGAAATGAAATGAAGCTGGCACACTGAGGGAATGGGGGTGGGGAAATGGCAAAAGTAAAAAAAAAAAAAAGCAGAGCACATTCACAAACTTTCCTTCCAAAAGCACGAGAGGAAAAAAGGAATCTGGGCAAAGGCCAGGTGTTGGAAAACGAGGAGTAGCTAGCAGGTGAGGAAGGCAGCAGAGAGAAGCAACACAAGCAGCACAATTCACACACAGAGAGACAGACGCACGCATAGCCTTGCAGTACATTTCTTCGGGGAGGTGGGGAAGTTTGACTCGTCTTGAAGTTAGGATCCCCAGCCACCACCCTTCCCATTTTAATAGGGATTTAGAAAGAGTGAAAAAAAAAAGAGGCAGGTGAAGCCAGCACGGGAAGAAAGGGCTACTTATTTGTCCCTTTCCTCCTTCCTCAGTTCCAAATCACTTTTTTTTTTAAAAAAAGAGGCAGGAGTGGGGAAGAGAGAGAGAGAGAGAGAGACAGGGAGCGATTGGACTAGTTGACTCAGACGCTCGGTAGTCTTGGTTGCTGACATTAATAATAATAATAACAATAACAATAACAACCGTAATAATAATCTGCGGGTGGAGTGGGAAGCTGCGATGTGGGGGCGAAGAGGACGGGGGGGGGGGGGAACCGGCAGCACATCTCCCCCCACCCTCTTCCAGGACCCGCTGTCCACGCGCACCCCCATCGGGGGAGTTAGAATAGGGAAGAAATCATATTCACCTTCCCTCCTCATGCCCACTTTGAGGCACTTCTTCAGGCGGCAGTATTGGCACTGGTTGCGGTGGTGCTGGTCGATGGGACAGTTCCGGTTGGCCCGGCAAGTGTACGTTAAGTTCCTGCGGACGCTCCGCTTGAAGAAACTTTTGCAGCCCTCGCAGGTGAACTGCCCGTAGTGCTTCCCGCTGGATTTGTCGCCGCAGACCACGCACTCGATGTGCTGCTGTTGTTGTTGCTGCTGCTGGCTCTGCCCGGAGCCCTGCTGCTGCTGGCCCTTGTCGCCCGGCGTGGACGGGGCGCCTGGCTGGCTCGGCGTTTGCGGCGTGTGGGGGGCCGCCGAGGCCCCTTGCTGCGGATCCCGGCCCGGCTGAGCTGCTCCGGTGGGGCCGCCCCCGGCCACGTCCTCTTGCGCATCTCGCCAGCTGCTAACTACCATTGCCATATCTCGGGCCCGCGGNGGGGTGGGGGTTGGGAGCAGAAGCGAGGGATCAGGACTCCTCCCGCTTGGCTGCTGCTGCTGCCGCCGTCGCCGCTGCTCCTACGGCCGCCGCTGCCTGCTCTCCCGGCTGGCTGCTTTCCGCTTCTCTCCCCTGCCCTGCCCCCCGCCTGCCCTCCTTCCTGCCTGCCTCCCCTCCGCCTCGCCTTCCCCGCTCCCGCGTTTTCCCTCTCCCCGCCTCGAGTGCGGGGTGATTCCCCGGGAGAGGGCGATGGGATTCCCGCGAGCTTTCGAGCCGCCTCGGCGGTCTCCCCCCGCGGCTCAGGAAGCGTCGCTGCGCCGCCCGGCCGGAGCCTTTGCCGCCTTGCCTCCCCCGAGCAGGGCGTCCTTTTTCAAGTTGCAAAACCAAGCGGGGCGAAGCGGGCTGTCGGGAAAGGCATTCAGGAGGGTCACCCTGGGGAGGAGAGGGAGAGGGAGCGGGAGGAGGAGGAGGAGGAGGAGGAGGGAAAGGAGGAAGAGGAGGTGATCGAGTCGCCCGACCCAGTCCGGGCCGGCCAGCCCCGTAACGTCCGAGCGGGTTAGCAGCTCGCACCGCCGCGGGCGGAGAGGCAGGAAGCCGAGAGGAGGAAGACCGCCAGGAGGCTGCCTCTGCCTCTGCAGCTGCAGCCGCGGCCGCCTCTGCCTCTGTCTCTGTCGCCGCCGCCGCCGCCGCCGCTGCTAGGAAGGCTGCCGGTGCTGCGGCCGCCTCCGCCTCCGCCGCCACTGCCTCCACCGCCACCGTTCGCTGCCGGGGCCCGACCGGGGGTGTCGCCGCTGGATCGCGCTCGTCCCCGCCGCGAGTCCGGGAATGGAGGGAGGCCGGCGAGGAAGCGGCCGAGGCGCAGCTGCCGCTCAGGGCGCGCGGGTGTCCGGGGGCCAGGTCCAAGGCAGCGCCGCGGAGTCAGCCATTCAGGAGAGGCGGGTCGGGAAGCTCCGGGGACGCCGGCCAGAAGCGAGGCGCGGAGGCGAGCGCCGAGTTGAGGAGACACTTTGGGGCTCCGGCTCTCCTTCTCTCGCTCTTTCTCCCTCGCTCTCTCCTCTCTCTCGCTCTCGCTCTCTCGCCGCCGCCGCCGCTCTTTCTTCGACCGGGTCTCTCCTTCTCTCTCTCTCTCTCTTTCCCGGCTTTAATTTCGGAGACAATCTACCGAGACGAAGGCGGCAGCTTCGCTTTCTCCCGGCAGACGGAGGATCCCCAGCCAAGTGCCAACGCCAAAAGCGAACATGGAGAGAAGCGAATATTACACGCGCGCGGAGGGGAGGGAAAAAGCCAAAGGAGAGCGAGCGAGCGAGCAATCCAAAGTAGGTCGAATAAATAAACCCTCTTCTCCTGGCGCTTTCCTCGCTCGCGCTTCTCTCGCCTTCTTTCTTCTGCCGCGCTGGTGCAAGAAAAAAAATAATCACCGGAGATCGCCGAAGAAAACCGCTCCTCTTTCTCCCTCTCTCTTCTCCTTCGTTCCTCTTCCTCTATTCCTTCCTGCCTGCCTGCCTGCCTGCCTTCTTTCCTTCTCTTCTCTTCTTTTCTTTTTCTTCAGAAAAATAATCGGAGGAAAAAAAGCACACGGGCACAAAAACCTTCAGCAGCCAAGACTAAAGCCCTCCCCCCAAATAGTAAAAAAAAAGAAAAAAAAGTGAAAAACCGAACGGTATGAAGATGTTAAAAGGCGTCCCCTTTGCTCTTTTCTTTTCTTTTCTTTGTAGTCTCGTCTTTCCCTTTTCTCTCTCTCCTTTCCTTTTAAGTTTCCTCTCTCTCTACTCTCGTGGAGAAGGAAGCGAAAGGCTCAAAGAAAAGAAGGGTGGAAAAAGAGAGAAGGAAGAAGCAGATAAGGGGGGGGACATCAACTAATAGAATATGCAAGAAACGAGAGAGAGAGAGAGAGAGAGGGAGAGAAAGGTGGGGAGAGAGAGAGAGAGAGAGGCAGAGAGAGAGAGAGAGAGAACCAAAAAATGAATGCGTTTCAACGGGAAGACTAGCAGAGCAATGTTTCCGAAAGGGAGATCTGCGCGAATGTCTGTATATAGTGAACTTTGACACTACTATTGAAACTGACACGTTTCTATGGAGATCGCTGCCTTATATGGAGCTCATGTCAAGGAGCCAAGAGAGGGGCTGCTGGCAACTGATAATCAAAGGCGACTGACTGGTCAGAGCCCTGAATTGGGGGGAGAGAAAATGGGAGGCTAAGGTTAGCCAAGCCTCTTTCACTCCATTGGCTGCGTCTCCTCTCTCTCTTGTCTCTTTCCCTCTCGCTTTCTCGCTCCCCCCCCCGGCCTTTATTCTTTGCTACCTACTGCCTAAGATAGGGAGGGACGAGGGGGGAGGGAGGAAGGAGGAGGGGGATTCTTCTGACAAGCACAATTTACACTGAGATCGCCCTGCTCGGCTATTTACTTTGAGACCTGATTAGTATGGGTCGTCTATGGTCACACACAGACGCACACGCACGAGAAAAGAAAGGAAGAAGGGGGGAGGGAAAGAGATGCAGTGGGATAGGCAGAAAAGAGGAATTAAAAGGAAATTATTTTGGTTCATTCTAAAAAGTTTTTTTTTAATTAGTTTTCTCTGTGTCTCTTTGGTTTCCCTTCCTTTCCTCCCTAAGCACCCTGTTTAGGAATTACAGGGCTTGGATTGGATTCCATTGTTTAATGGCTGGAAGTAGATGGCTAAGGAGAATCCATAAGGGAAGTAAGTATTTAAAAATACATGTATGGTTCCATATGTTACTATCTGACACGTTTATCCTCTTTTTCTCTTCCGCCACTCTGCCTTCTTTGCCTCGTTTTAAATATCCCTCCCTCCCTCTCCGTTTTGTTTTGTTCTGTTTCTCTGCTGTTGCTCATGCCAAGATGAATTTCCTTGATCAGAAAGCAGCATCTCATTTCATTTGAAGATCCCATCTCTCCCGGTTTTTTTTTTTTTAATTTTTACTGCTTAATGTATACTAGGTTGGTATTTTAAGTTAAATTCTCCTTGCACCCATTTTTCCCCCCGTCATAAATATTTTTCTGCTCTCTACCTGAGGACCAATGTTGCAAAAGAAAGTTCAAGTAAGAGAGAGAGGAAAAATGTTTTAGAGGAGTGTACGCTGGAAACAGTGCGGTTTCTCTCTCTCTCTCTTTCTCTGTGTGTGTGTGTGTGTGCGCGCGCGCATGAGCCTCTGTGTGTGTGTGTGTGTGTGTGTGTGTTGAGGCGGATGGAGGACAGATTCTCCTTCTCCAGTGCTAATGGAATCGCTGAATCGTGCTGCCATCTAGCGGACAGGAAGAGAGAGAGGTGGAACTGCAGTTTATATCGCCTATTCCCCCCCCCCCCTTGTGTTGAGGGGAAAAAGCCCAAGCGGCTTATACAGGAGAAGGGGTGGTTGTAAAGCACCCTATTTGTTCCCTTCAAATTCCACAGGGAAAGAAAGCTCGAGGGGGTAAATATTAGTTTCATATGGATAGTGGAATTTTTTTTTTTATTAACTTCCAAGACCTTACAATCTCGGTGCTCCGATCGACCCCTTTTCAATATTTCCCCCCCCCCACCCCCGTCTTCCCAACTTCTATAAAACTTCTAATGCCAGAAGGAAGCAATTCCTGAGACGTTCGCCTGTTTTTGCATGAGAAGCAAAGATTGTCTCGGTGGGCGAACCCGGCGTCCCTTTTTCTAGTTTCAAAAGTTCAGAAGCTCAGCCTGCAGAGGGGCTTTCTGGAGCCGAACAGGCGGTGTTGCAATTTGATGGTGGAGTAGCGAAGGGTGGCTTCACCCTCTCCACCCGCCTTCCTCACCTCCCCCCCCCCGCGCTCTGCAATCAGTTTTCCCTGCCAAGCCGTCCTTATTGTAGGTTGCATTGATAAAAAAAAAGGGCGTTATTGTAAAATGCAACAGTGGGCTTTTTAGCCTCTCTCCTTTTTTTCCAATAAACGCTCGGTCCTGCGTTCTGGTGGTCGCTGAAAAGGTGAAACGAATAAGATTAAATCTCTCACACGCACACACTCCCACACTCACACTCACCCCCCCCCCCCAGCTCTGTATGTGCACCATCTAAGATTTTACTCCCCGGACTGCGGAGAGACGGAGGGGGAAAAAAAGAGGCAGAGCAAGAGAGAAGCGAAGAGGGAGGGAGAAGGGGCGAGAGCGGGAGAAAGAAGCAGCCCAGAGGAAGAAGCCTGCGTGAGGCACCAGCTCCTTGACAAGCTTTCTTCGGAGTCCGGATCCCCTCAGCTGGCAAGCAGCAGCCCTGGGCCGCCCAAGGCAAGTAAGGTTTTGCTTTCTGTCTTTTCTACTTCTGGGCCAAGTTAGACCCCGGGAAGCAGCACCCAGCTGCTTGGAGCTGGGAAACTCTCCCGCTCTCTCCCCGCCCCGCTGGCTCTTTTGGCAGAGTTCAACCGAAGCGGCAACTTGGACACGGGAACTTTTAAAAATTCTCTCTCTCTCTCTCTCTCTCTCTCTCCCTCCCTCCCCTTGCCCGCCCTCCAACACACAGTTTCCGCGCCCGATCCCCTGGTCTTTCTCCCATCACTTTAGCTTTTGCCGGACGCAGAACAGAAGCAGATCCGGCCTGGCTGGGATTTTCCAACCACAAGCAGGTTGGAAGCTGTGTGTGTGTGTGTGTGTGTGAGAGAGAGAGAGAGAGAGAGAGAGAGACTCTGTGTGTGTGTATGTAGGTGGGGAAGCATAGGACGGGGGCAGCTGTTTATAGCCTCGAGGTAGGAAAATGGGAAAACTTGGGGGCCTCGAGGTAGGAAAATGGGAAAACTTGGGGGCCTCGAGGTAGGAAAATGGGAAAACTTGGGGGCCAGAAGCTGTGTGCAATAAATAAGCTTCCTTGTTATCCCAACCTTAAAAAAGAAAAGGCCAAATCTGCTGATAGCTTTCCACGAAATTAACTGAACTTTCTCCAGAATCCACCGACCCCCTCCAAGTAAGGAGCGGTGCATGGAGGTTTTCGGCAGACATAGTATGCGCGAGTTTTCTTAAGAGGCAG